ATACACCACGCGAAAGATCGAAGAGAATATATATACATATACGTGTAGCCTGAACAACTCAAGCGTCGGTCCACGCGCGACGCGAATACACGATTGCCAGCCCTTGTCTCCCCCTGTATGTGTATACATATATATATATACACTTACCCACGTATCGTCAAGAGAGAGGAATCAACCCTGTGTGTTTTATACCTACACGTATACACACTTACCTGACCCACATACCTCGTGAACGTACCTCTGTATGTATGCCGCGTGTGTGCTATAGCTGCTGCAGTCCAGAATCCCAAACAGGATGCCTCTCCTCTTGCTTCGACACTCTGTAGCTACGTGTAAGTATACGTGACACTCGCGAGAGGACAATGACGATTCAAACGCGAAAAAAAAAAAGAAAAAAGAAAAAAAGGGGATTGGTACTGTAGAAGCGCGGGCGCGCGTTTTGTTACGTAACTCGCGTGCAGGATCAGAGACGCATCCTGGCGGGAGGACGCGTGTGCGTACCGAATTGCGCTGGTCACGCGACTGAAGAAGAAGAAGGAGGCAGTGCATGCACCGAGGGAGCACACTGCGCGCACACCATCACACGCACCGTATCGTGTACTCGAGGGCGCGAAACAACGAAAACAACACGCCCTTGAGTGATGCATATTATTGTATGTATATATACGATGGGTGATAAAAAAAAAAAAAAAAAAAAAAGAAAAAGAGAAAGACGAGGCTTACCATAATCGGCTGTCGTCGTCGTTGGCGGGCGCATATCAGCAGACCGCCCCGGCCGCTGCTCCTCGTCGCTGCTGCTACCGTTGCAAGCACCGTCGTCTTCTTCTCTCTCTCCCTTTTCCTTCCCTAGACCACCTCTTTTTTTGTTTCTTCTTCTTCTTCTTCTTCTTCACACTGGCTTACCGTTTTTTTTTTTTTTTTTTTTTCCCCTGTCTCTTCAGGTGGGAGTGAAATGGTTTTTTTTTTTTTTTTTTTTTTCATGGTGACGCGTTATTCGTCAACAAAATAAAGCATTACGTGATGTGGTTTTCTTTTTTTCGTACAGGGTGACTCCGGTGG